GAATCCTACTTATTGGCAGATGGAAGACGAGGAATTTGGCAGGCTGGGCTCAGCGAAGCGTTGAGCTTGTGAGGTCTGGGCTTCCGAAGGCGGAGATATGGCGTTTGAGGCGTTGGCGGATCGCGTGGGAGATCTGGGGTCGCTGGTTGGCCATGGCTAGCGTACACCTACAATGTCCTAAACATCATCCGCGCAACCAATCTGTGCAGTTACCTCTTTGTTTAGTTATCTTCGAGTTCTTCAACAAGAGATTACCAACGAGAGAAAGAAAGGTGGACATGCCCAGCCTTGCATTATCTCAACAGACTGACATCTGGTGGGAACTATTCGCGTAACGTTCGCAATTGATGCCAAGGATTGCGACATCTCGGTTGGCGGCATTGGCACCGAATGCGATGCTTACCTGGAGAGGTCTACTGCAGCCGCACTAGCGCCCGAAAGACGGCGCTGTAAGTAGGCTGTCACACAGGCCGGCAGGTGTGAAAGCCTAATGCAGTGAAACAAATGGCGAGCATGCAAGCGCGCCCTTTTGTGTATCTTCGAAAGATTCGGGACGTTCCGCCTGAATGTGGAAATCAATCCGATGTTCCGATGGAAACATTAGCGAAGAAGGTAGTTTTTGTGTGCAGAAACGGAAGAAGATGCAATCTCATTGCTGAGCTCTTGGACGTGGTTCAGAACTCAAGGGTCTCCGCAAAGCCACATTCGGGATCGGTAATCTGGGTAAGGTTCCAGCCTCATTTGCAGCGTAATAAGCGCCAGATTCATCTCCAGATGCTGCACAACCAGGATATCGGGTCGAGATCACCCATGCGCGGACTTTCCAGCTGAGCTCTTACCTGAATCGCTTAGACTATGCGGAGCGACTTCGTGGTAGCACGCCATCTGAGGCATGTATCACACTCGCGCGGGCCAGCGAATCGACACGCTCTTCGAAGAAGCAACTGTTCAGCTACGCACGCGCTCACGACCTAGCGGAATGCTACTACAACCAGCCTGTGTCGCCTGTTCAGCCCGCGTGCTACGATGTGTAATTGTCCAAGATGCTTGGATGCCATTGGTTTGCCACGCTATAATGCATGCAACCAGGACCAACGACGTGGGTTCCAGCAAGCACGAGCCGAGAGTCTGGAACAGTACGAAGTCTGCATGATCTGCGGGTATTCCGACGCAGCATGAGGCCACAACCTCGTGAGGGTTGATGAAGCGAGTGGCGGTTCATCCCGGACGTCTGGCCTTCCCAGCCCTATGCACCTTCATATGATATCGCCGAGGGTCTGGATTTCGTAAGAACGTGGGATGGCCGACTACGACGGGCTGACTGTTGTCCTTATGGGGGTTCATGTCGGTCACCCCCTAGTCGGGCAATGGACGCCCGCAAGGAGGGAGGACTCGAAGGCATCGTGGTATTCGTTCGAGGGGAGTTGTTGCGGTAATGAAAGTAGTGAATCACGACGTGCTTGAGCTTGGTAGCGCTCTTGAAGATCGATAATGCGTGATCTGGCGAATGTCAGTACATTTGCGAATTGAGGCGCCCTCGGCTGTGAATGGCGCGTGCGAGATGCTGCGCCAATTGTAGCGCCACGCAAATTCAGGAATTGTGTAAGATCCAGATCCGTCGTGGATAGACATAATGTTGGTGTTCTGTAGTTGATGTGGGAGAAGCAGTCTCGCGTGAAGCCCCCGATGGAGCCCTGAAGCGATCACGAGATTACGTCATCGACCTTCGCGAAAACCAACACGCGACGCTGACCTCAGCTTCCAGCACGCGACAATATGTGTGTCCTTTCGATAGGGCGAAATGCAGGTAAATCTCGATGCACAGCTGACTGATATTCTAAACTCCGTTTCTCGTCGTTCGGTGAAGCCTTAACGCCATGGAAAGTCGCGTTTCGCTCTTTGATGCGTCTACGGGTGCCGATTAAAGCGGAGTGAGGGGTCGAAGGAAGCAACGATGACCTCAGCCCTGACCGGGGCGTAATGCGACATTGCAAGGTAATAAGAGGTATATGAACCCTGGATTCAGCAATGGTGGAAGCGCGACAACTATACACAGGATTGGCAACTCGCGCGATGGCCTCCAAAAGTCTTCTTCTCCGAGGCGGTATCGCTCTCATTCACGATGCAAACAACCACGTCGTTCCCACCAAATCCGATGTTCTTGTCGAAGACGGCAAGATCACGAGAATCGCGCATGATATCAAACCATCTGAGGGAACCGAGACTATCGACTGCGCCGATCAGATAATCAGCCCAGGTTTCATCGATACTCACCGTCATGCTTGGCAGACGCAGCTCAAAGGCAGGCATGCCAATGAGCAGCTGCTGGACTACATGGTGACTGGTATGGCTTCATGTGGAACTAGACGGCCTCATCATAACAAAGAGCAGGCAACTCACAGTCTTTCCAATACTCGCCCGAAGATGTCTTCTACGGCCAGCTCGCCAGTTTACTGGAAAGCATTGCAGCTGGCACAACCACGGTAGTTGAGCACGCACATATCACCCGCTCACCAGAACATGCCAAAGCCGCTATCGCAGGTACCGCATCTTCTGGCATGCGCTCGGTGTTCTGCTACACTCCAATCTCGCTCGTCAAGCAATTCAACCCCCTTACCTGGCATCCAAATCTTCTCGAGGACTGGGTCATGAACACTTTTGAAGAGCTCGCCGATAACGGGCCTTTTGGAGACGGAAGGGTAACGCTGGGTTTCGCGTTCGACTTTTGGTTTTTGCCTGCAGATATGATCAAAGGCATATTCGCCAGGGTGAATGCCAAAGGCGTCAAGACGATTACCACCCACGGCTCTGTGTCGCTAGGAGGTAGTGTGATACAAGCAGCGTCGGAACATGGTCTACTGGATGAGAAGATCATCGTATCGCATGGTGGCACGATCGTCAAGGCTGATGCTGAGCTCTTGAAGGCCGCTGGTGCATTCGTGAGTTCAACCCCAAGTTCAGAGCTCCAGATGGCTATGGGGAGATCTTACTGCTTTGATGCCTCATTCCCCGATGGAGGTGTCAGCGGCGATTCTACCGGACTGCAGGACAACGCCGCGCTTGGCGTTGATTGCCATTCTGCCACTGCTGGTTCCATCATCGCTGAAGCAAAACTCGGCCTCGGCAATGCGCGAAACCACTACAACGAACACATTATGAAACAAGACAAGATTCCACGGGCTCTTCCTGACAGTCTCAGTGTCGAGGCCGCCTTCAATCTAGCAACGATCAAAGGCGCCGAGGCTGCAAACATGAGCAGCGAAATTGGGCGTATCGCGGAAGGGTACAAGGCGGATCTGGTCATCTTCGATGCTCTAAGTCCTAGCATGGTTGGCGCCGCACAACACGACCCAGTCGCCGCCATCATCCTACACTCCAGTCCAGCAGATATCGAGACTGTCATTGTTGATGGTATCGTAAGGAAGAAGGATGGAAAGCTACTACCGGTACGGGTAGACAGCGGCGCGAAAGAGATGATAGGCAATGACACCCTCGATTGGCCCAGTATTGCAAAGGAGATTGTCTCGGGTAGGGAGAAGATGCAGAAGGAGATTGACAAGATCGATTTCGACGAAGCATACGAGGCAATACTTAAGATGTTTCATGTTGACAAGACGAAGTTGGTAGATTGAGATCCGTAGAGTATCTTCGGTACCGGAGAACGCTGTCTCGATGCTCAAGCCCCGGTTGAACAGAAGGCATTGGTAGTCTGATCTCCATAGAGAATGGGCAGGGTCAAGAGACGCTGTTTCGATGCTCACATCCTGGTTGAGGGGGTTGATCGTTATTATCTGGCTGTTATAGATCGTGGTTTGTATGGTAATCGGCCCTTAGCGCGAGCGCGACGCGTTGCATTAAAGTGGTTTTGGTTCGTCAATCAGCACTTCCTTCACCCCAACCTCACGGGGAGCAAAAGTGTTTAATGGTCTCCTCGCTGCGCAAACTTGTGGAACCACTTTCGCAGTCATTGATCTCTTTGATATGTATTGTTATTCTGAATTCTTCATAAACGAAGGACGAGAACGCCCACCGTCCGTCTCTATGCCGCCGAACGAAACAAGGTACCCGGAGCCGAAGGAGCTCGATCCAAAGTTTCGCGCCTACAGACATGCAATCGCGAGACACTCGAAGTATGAGGTGGAGGTTCGCGACGTCGAAGCACGGCTATCTCGCTCGCTTGGGCAAGGCCAGGAGGCCTTCACCACTCTCCGTCCAACGACTTATATCCTGTACTTAACTTACTACATAGACTGCATGACCATGTTTGGGAATAAGCTATACTATGAGTCCCTCTATGGCTATGAGAAAGGCCAACTGCAGCTGGAGAGGGTATTGAGCCATGGCGATGAGGTGGAGGTGGAAGTAAGCGTCTGTTTACCAGACGGCAGTGACGTTTGGGAAGGAAAATTTACGGGTTCATGGCCAAGTTCACGGAAACCTGCGCTCGAAAAGGTGCCTGTGGTCTTCTCTAGGGCCACCAAGAACCTGTACAGCGTGCAGCCTCCCTGGCCCATGACATTGATCTTTCTCGAAGATGGGTATCCGAGGGTAAATTACGACGGCCATGATGTTCACAGTCTCTATGCTGTTGCTTAGGGTACCTCAGATACCACGGATTTCTAAGCGCGGGGTATCTGGTCAGGAATGGTGGGAGGAGACACCGGAGGGGCTAGTTACTTGATGCGTTTCGTTCCTACCTGGGTAGGCACCCGTGGGCTTTCTTCTCTTCAATTTGGAAGGAAGCAAACTTATCTAAGTCTCTACCTACTGTGCAAACTGGCGGTGAGAGATGTGAAAAAGCACAAGCTATCGAAGAGGACACAAAGGTGGGCAGCATGTCTGGAGGCAGCTCTAGCCTGATCGAGTTAGACCAATCAGGTGATGACGTGCACGGTGAGCACCGACCCAGCCGTAACATCCGCAGGTCTTTTCATTCCATCTTTACTTCGACCACAAAACATTTTCATTCGGCAGGTGATTCTCAGTCTGCGCTTAACATCATGGACAAGCGCATTATATCAAGAAAGGAGCGTGAGCAGGTGGAGCTACGCAAGTTACCCGAAGACCTGCGTCGTAAAAAGGAATGTCGCAAAGTAATTCGGCAGATTCTCAAGCAGCGCAAGGCTCTTAGTTTTCCTAGTGGCGAAAATCCAGGTCGAGACGACGACGACGACTGCGCTGAGCGCGGCATCCAGCAAATTGAAGCACGGCTTAATCAACAGCTGCAGCAAGGCCACAGGCCCTTGGTTCCGTTGAAACTCGCGACTTACATTCTTACAGCGAAGAGTTTCATCAAGGATACTACAGATGGGGATGGAAACTGCATTCACGATGGTTTGGTCCATGACGATGCGCCCGGTCGATTGTACATCGAGAAAATTTCGAGACAAGGAGACGACGTTGAAGTCAAGGCGAACTTGTGGTTCAAGTTAGGTACGAGGACCTGCCTCAAAGAGCAGGTTGAATTTACTGGATCGTGGCCAGATCTCGAAATACCCGCACTTGAAGAGATCTCAGTAAAATTCTGTGACGAATCGCAGGTCCGTTACAGAGGTGCATCGCAGAAACAGAAGGAGATGAACCAAGAGTCAATGCGAATCACTCTCGTCTTCCTCCGCGACGGCTACTTGAGTATGAGAGCTCAGGCGGTACCATTCTACACGATAAGGGAAGATATTGAGTTCTATGGCATCAAAACGAGTAAAATAAAGGAAAGAGACAGCGGACTAATTGAGCGTCTCGAGGACAGCGACCCTGAGACAACTGAGCCCAGCGACGAAGACACCACAGACAGCGAAAGCGACAGCGACAGCGATATTTGGTACAGCGATTACGACAAGGCACGAGCAAAACACGCGAAGCAAGAAGCGCGTGGCAAAGCCATCGAAGCATGGCTTGAGGAACGCATTGCTTCAGGAGAGGAAGAAACCGTCGAAAGCATGGAAGCACGCAGAACAAGTCTGGAAGATTATAATCAAGTTCTCAAGTGGAATCTCTGGTCTACTTCATATCTCGACATGCTCGTCGCTAAAAAAGGCTGGCGAACTGATAATGAATTGTTCCACGGCGGCGGTTGCGGCGACTTCAGCATCACAACATACGGCCGGGTGGACGGTAGGCCTGCTAAGGGCACCCTGACTCTTCCGCCGCAGTACGATCACTTCCCAGGCGATCTTAAGTGGACGATGGAGAGAAGCATTGTAAACTCTAAGCGACTTAACGCCATCATGTCCACCGAAGACTCGCCGCATAAACTGAAGTTTCGCATATGCTTTGTTGAGAATGGGCATATGAAGATACGCATTCCAGCTCACGAGATCAGAGGAAGCAGAGAAAACGGTCTCATCGACTTCTACGCTATCGCTGAGGACTCGCCAGGTTTTCGTCCTCATCAAAGGCGGCGTGGTGTGGTTAGAGAGTGGTGGGGAAAGACGCCTGATGGACTGGTGTACAACCCGCCTACCGGCGCTATAGAAGACAGTCGTAGCGAATGTTCGGACCACCCGGATAACTGTACGCACTTCGATCCATACGACCGTGGGTTTTAATAAATGGTTGTATAGTACATTGTTCGTCGAAATGAATTGATAGTGTTTTCACGACCTCGGGATGCGGCGGGTCAAAGACGGCTAGTGCAACCCCTTTCCGTAACCATGGACACCGTTCCGAGCCTTCCAAGGTTTTCTGGCCACACAAAACGCGTCGCAACATCACATTCCGAATTACACTTCTGTTACAGCTACGCCACATTCCCAGATAGACATGCGTTCTGACGTCAACATGGCATTCCCAAATGGTGAGTCTGCCGAGGTACCCATCATTGTTTTACCGCGACGCTAACCACAACCGACACGATAGGGAAAGTGTTTCAGACCCCAGGTCTCATGAGCCTCGCAACTGATCTCGCGAATAAGAGTTTAGCGTCAGTCATAGAGTGTACGTTCGCTGTTCTACGTGCGGCAGGATAAGTGCTCACCTCTCACAGTAATCGATGGGTACTGGTTTGATACGGGGGAAAACCGAGATCACAATCTCCACCACCTGAACTGCTACAAAGATGCCCTAACGTACTATTCCAACGTGGTACAGTCCTTCGATGGGCAATTCCAGAATCTGAATTTCCAACTATTCATCGCCGGAATGTTCAAAGCACTACTAGAGGAGGGTTTCAACCACGCTTTCCTTGTTAAGCTTCGGGGACATGAGCACGCGCGTGTCCTTGACACAATTGCTCGTGTAAAAGATGGTCAATCAGATACGGAGGAAGACGAGCCTGATTGGGAACCCCATCCCGAGCCAGACGATTCCTTGGACGATGACGAAGAGCGGGGTTTCTGGGACGAGCTCCCAAGAGACGGTGAAAGCGACTCGGACATGCTGGGCTGGAGTTCTTCGGCGAACTCCAACGCGCCCGAACGGCCGAATGCTCTGAGAATAAAGAGAGCAATCGGGTTCAGAAAACACGAAGACTACATCGCCAAGGGAAGAGAACTGACTCATTGGCTCGACGAAGAACAAGCACGAGGCAAAGAGCATCCCGTGGGAAATATCCACGGTAACTGGCTTATCTACTCCAGTGTGAATATTGAAGCTCAGCAACATGCTGGCAATCAGACCGGAAAAGCAAACCTCCACCGCGGGCACTTTACGATAGACGATGGCCGTCCCCATCGTCGTAGACCCCATTTGAGGGGGAGTGATCTCTGCATCCCGTCCCCATCGAAGCTACAAAGCTTGGGTTTCAGCATAACCATGCCAGCCTTCCCGAACGTGGCATCTTCGAAGATGTACATAATTACCGCTACCAAAATGTGCAGAAGTACAGCTACCAGTCTGATGCCAGGGGGTGCCATACAGTACAAGTTTGGAATCCGCTTCCTAGGTAACGGCTATCTGTCTCTGCATATACCGGCATATGTGATCGGCTGCAAGGGTGATAAGCTCATCGTGTTCACCGGTGTCTCGCTTCAGAAGGAGAAGCACACTCGCGATATGGAATGGACGAAAGTGGACAGTCGATGGGTTTACCAAGGGCCATACGAGGAGAAGAATACGCCATATGAAGAGGGCGACTCTGACTCTGGTGAGGGTTTCTGTTATTACGAGGATAAGGAAATGCAGTGTAGCGATGAGAATTGTCCGAAGCATAGTCGCGTGGATGAGAGGGAGTGGTAGATACAGATGAACAGACCTCGGGATTCTCTGGTGCTAGGTGAACGCCTCTGATAGTCTCTGAGAGCTCAAATCAGAGGCTCTTTGGGCAAAAGAGATGGGAAGTAATAGAACGAACGATCCTTCCCAGCAGCTGGGAATTCCAAGCTTAGTGATCGAATGGCGCGAACAGCTTTATGGACACTGGAAACTCCTCCTTCTCGTGAAAGTGACGTGTTCATGATTGATAAGACTCTTGCTTCAATACCTGGGCAGAGGAGGCTGGGTGTAGATTAGGGTGGCTGTTCGGTCTCATTCCTCGGACGCGACGCGACGCGACACGCTAATAACCCTTGCACGCTAATCAGGGGTGGACGCTTCCTATCTCGTCGCATTGGAGCGTGCGTATCGTTCTCGGAATGGTTTCCGGGGCAGCCTTCTCACCAGTCACCAGTAAACACACACAACAGCTCTATGGCTCCAATCAAGAAGAGTTCACACGTCAAGCGTATGTGCAGCATAGTTCGCATAGGAAGGAATCGCTTCTAACGATTCGCAGCAGCTACGCGCAAGCTCACACGGGACGGCAAGATTAAGGATTACTTCCGAGTCGTTCCGAAAGAGCCTCCTGTCTCTGTAAGGCCTCCTATTTCTGCAAAGCTTTCTGTTCTCGCAAAGCCTTTTGTTCCTGCGAAGCCTGCTGTTCCTGCAAAGCCTCCTTCTGTCCCTACAAAGCCCACGAATGTCAGAATCGATGAAGACCAGGACCGATCAGATGTTGGTGCAGTGACGAAGGGGGTGTCGAAACCCAAACGTGAAGAGCTGCATTATGTTGGGTTCGGGCAGACCGATCTCGAGCGCATAGGAAGAGCTATGCTCGTCGAGTATCAGAACGAGACTCAGCTCGCTTGGTGGGCCACAGACTTGACCTATTTCGACCGCTTATCAGAAACTCTTCTCCTCCAGTATGAGAAGGAGATGGTCAAGCTTCTCGAGAATAGGAGAGCGACGAAATATGCCCGGTCTTGGTCCAACCCGGGATCGACACGTAAAAAGAAACAAGATGCCGATGTGGAAACGCGAATCGAGTTTGAGCGCGAACAAAAGGCTATCATCGCCAAGTATGAGACGAAGATGATCCAGCTCATCGAAAACAAGGAGGCGGTGGAAGATCTTCTGGGAAGAGAAATCCACTATCAAAACGACATTTTACGAGCTTATATCAACCTGAAAGAGAAGCTGCGTACTCGGAACGATAACAACGGCAATGTTGCTCTGCAGGGTCCACGACCGCCGGCCTATATTCGTGGAGAATATACACTTTATTCCCCCGACATGTTGCGAGAAGGGATTGAGCAGAGGCCACACTGGTTCAAAGGGGATGTCTTGCGCTACTGGCGTGCTGGTACCTTACGACTGGGACAACGTTGGGGAGACGGTATAGGTCCTGGCGCTGAAGTCGAACTGGCCAAAAACGCCCACCGTATAACTTTTACATATACTGCTCCGGAACATCCGTCGACGCAGCCGCAGTCTTGTGAAGCTTATTGGCACTCTAATAATGTCACAGCAGAGGCTGAAATTTGGTTCTTGGGTGGCGCATATCTGTTGTTAGACATCGCGGATATCTCTGGTGAAACAATCCATCTTCATGGAATTCTGGAGAGGGACGAGGAGGAGATGTCCGAATGGTGGCCGGGAATGCCGGAATGGAAGCCGCGATCTTATTACAAAACACCGTACAACCCTGTCTTACCCCAAGGCCGGACTCGATATCTCGCACCTACTGCGGCCACCGGATAGGAAGTCCACGTCCAATAATGTATAATATACCTGTTTTCTTTCGCGAAGATGATGCGTACTGAATCAATTGTAGGCCCTTTTAAAAAGAGAAGGCTGGTTTTCGATATCTTGAGTCGGCCCGTGGTTTTTGGGTTACAAGCCGTGAACGCGACTTCGACACGCTAAGATATCACAAGCGCTAGAGGAGGCTGGTCGCGTCTTCTTCATCTATAAAATGGCTGGCAGTGAACGAAAAAAAGAAGAGGAAGTCAGCTTCATACAATTGCTTCGGATTGCAGCTGATCCTTGAGTAAGTGCGCATTCATTTTCTCTGAGACGCGGATACTAACAACTAGATACAGCGATATCGCACGAGGACACCGAAAACCATTGCAAACTTGTGCCTCAGCAAGCAGGACTTTCCGGAACATTTGCAACTATGAACACTCATTACGTCGAATCAGCACAGACAATGGTTATCGCACCCGAGGAGAGTGATTCAGACCCGTGGAGCTCGAGCGACGACGGAGATTCCTCTAGTGAAAACGAGACCGAGAGTGGAGGAAACAGTGCATCTAGCACGGCCGATCCTGACGAATACAACGGCTTCCCGGCCGCCGTTAACGCTGCGTACAAGCTACATGAACAGTACCATGACGACGCTTTTCGTGCCTTCGAGCAGATCGAATCGAGTCTAAAAGATGGAACGTTGAACCAAGGAATATGTGACGGGCCAAACGCCCCAGTCTTACCGATCCGCGGTGAGTATACGTTGTACTCCCCCTGCTATCAGAATTTCCATTACCAAAACAATCCAACCCTCTGGACCGAAGAGTTTGCCAGTACATGGATGGCGGGTAGCATCCGTTTTGGACAGCGCTGGAGAAATGATTGGTTTCCTATTGGGGCCGAGTGCACGATTGCTGGACTCAGGCGTCCTCTCACCTTCGGGTGTCCTGAGGCAAGATGCTTCGTTGGTAAAATAGAAGACATTCACGCCGATGGTGGTAATGTTTCTCGAGATAAGGATCCAAAGAGCTGGACGATATGCTGTCTTAAGGGTTCATATATGCTCATATACATCCCGGCGACAGAAATAGGTGACACTATTGGAGAAGAAGATTACTTGTTCATCGGGATTCTGGATAGGACAGAGGAAGAGATGGCAGCCACCGGATTTGCAAAGAACTATTGGAGTAGACCAGTACCATACTACGAAGCGCCGTACATCTCCACTTTACCCCAAGGTCGAACTCGGTAAGCCATGTCTTTGTACGAACTGACGTGAGACATGTACTGACTTGCACCAACCTCTAGGTACCTTGCACCAACTTCTCTAGGCGAAGAAGAACCTAGCACTCCTGCTGCCCCGAAGATCCAAGATGAAACGAATCCTACTACAGGTAAGTTTGCTTTCATATTTAATTCATTTGAAAGCTTATGTGTCATAGTCTGCCATACACCTAGATTACCTACGCACATGTCTGGACATAGCAAGTTGCAAACACAGGATTCCACGATATCATCCTCGTGGAATGACAACTCAAAGTACGAGAAGGCTCTTGCTGACCACCAGGCTCACGAAGCCAATTGTTTAAGGTTCGCATCTGTCGTGGAACCGCGGTTTCTTGATGACGATGAGAAGCCGATAGAGCCGTTGGAAGGCAATTGGACTCTATACTCACCAGGACTTATCTCTATGGCACACAAGCTCCGAATGGCCGGGCAAACAGATCTAGCATATACCGTCGGAACGATCTGCCTTGGCAAGCATGAACTAAGCGATGAATGTTGGAAGCACTACCCACTCAAAAGTCAGGTATACATCACTGGCCTCGGTAGCTTCTGGTGGATCTCACCCGATATCCCACATTACGCATTCGGGGGGGAGGAAGAGGATGCTCAGTTCTTGCTCAATGTGCATACACGGATCAAAATCACTTTCTTTGTAACTTTTCTTACTGGTGGCGTGATGAAGCTGAGGCTTTGTGCACCGTCCGAGTCGGGTTTAGATGATGTTATCGTTTGGGCTGTCAATGACGAAGGGGAGGTAAATATCCAGGTGTATGTTCCGGGGTAATCGATGCTCTTCATTGCAATTAGTGCCTCTGGCGTTGAGTACGAGATGCCTTGCAATTGAGACCTCTGGACTTTGGTTCAACTGTGCAAGTGACGTGCTGTTGTTCGTGACTCGCTCTCCACCCTATTATTCGTAAGAGGCGGCGGTCTTTCGTTGCAGTGGGCAGTTGAACGTTGAAAGGTAGTTGCGGTGCTTGAGAATAAGGAAAGTAGAGATCTGCGTTGCGGCTCCCCAGTCGAACGTCATCCAGTCGGGTGGCGCAGGAGCTTGGACCCTGAAGCATCCCCGAAATCCATAGCTTCCTCGAAAGATGTCCCCAACACCATTACAATCGCAGCGCATACCCAATTCTTTGACCTTTTATTATTGAAGTGCAGTCTCTGCATATCACCTGATCGCTAAACATACTTCAACCGCCACAATGGACGTCAAAGAGCCCCTACTACCGTCCGACCCCCCGCCCTCATATGAAGATGCGCGGAAGTCACCAATCCCACAAAACAAGTCGGCATCGGGCACACCATTAGCGAAGAGGCCACCGCCTCCGCCACTCAATCTGCCAGCGCTGAATGAGTTGAGAGGATCGAGAGTTGTGCTTGCGAGCGCGTCACCACGTAGAAGACAGCTTCTCGCACAGGTAGCATCACATCTACCCGGCCATGGACATGCCGGATACTGACTTCAATCAGATCGGCCTCACAAAAATCGACGTAGTCCCCTCCAAATTCGCCGAAAACCTAGACCACTCGCTCGGCGCGCTGAACTACGTCCTCGAAACCGCATCCGCCAAAGCGCATGACGTATACAAAACCGAGATTAACAATCGCGAGCGCGGCGAGCCTGCCATCGTCATCGCTGCCGACACAATTGTAGTATCGCACGCTGGGCGGATACTGGAGAAGCCGAAGAGCGAGGCAGACCATATAGCAACGCTGAAGATGCTGAGAGATGAGGGCGCGCACAAGGTTATGACCGCCGTTGCGGTGATGAAGCCATTAGAGTCTGCGGTAGATCCGGGATATGCCATGGAGACACATGTTGAAGAGACAACGGTTATGTTCGATCCTACTGGTACTTCTCCCTGTTCAAAAATGGCTGAATTGAATGCTAACACGAGTAGTGACCGACGAACTGATCCTCGCATACGTCAAAACGCGCGACGGTAACGACAAAGCAGGCGGCTATGGTATACAGACAGCGGGCGCATGCCTCATCGAGCGCATAGAAGGGTCATACGACAACGTGGTCGGTTTGCCGTTACGGCAGACGCTGAAGCTGATAGAGAAGGTCATGGAGCCTGAGGAGGAAGAGGGGGACTTCTTTGTGGACAGCAGAGAAGACGAAGAGGAGGAGTAGGACAAGAACCTCCAAGTACATCAGGCGAGCGACAGTGTATGGCATGCATACAAATCTCCACCTGGGCGTAAGAGCCTTCGACGACGGGACTAAGCATGACATCGCATAAGAAGGGAACTTCCCTGTGTTTACACGGAGTAAAGGTTATGATAGATTTCCTGAAGCTAGGCTAGGTCAGATAGCTCTATAAAGCAGTTGACTGCTTTTGAGGGAAGTTGATGGTTGACAAATACACAAGTAATTCATCCCGTACCGCATCCAACGGAGACATAGGAATCAAATCTACCGACTTACGTCCGTATCCTCCCGGCAGGCTATGCATGAATACTGTAAAGGTTCTCGTACGATAGGCTTTGAGACGCCATCGGCTTGCTCGCGATCATTTTCTGACATGCTGCTCCTATTGACAATGCACAAGACGGATCAGAAATATGCTCGGACGTTTCATTAAGCCTTCCAGGTCAGCACACTACTAGCATTCTCACCGTTGAGTGCACTGAATCCATAGCGACTTCTAGCTACACCCCTCCATTACCAATCCACGCCCCACTTGCCTCGGCTCAGCCTTAAATCTCGCAGCGGGCACCTTTCCCAAAGCGGGTGACTCCCGGCGCGAGCGCTCGTCATGGCTTCGTGTCGTTCAACGTTGTCTCGAAGATTCTGCATTTGCGACAAGTTTCGTGCCCCGCGTCGAGACACCTGGCCGAAGTCGTGGCTTCTAGAGTCGGACGAATATTCGTTTTGCGCCTCTTTGCCGGTCGCTGGCCGATATGCAACGTTACGACTGGGCTTGCCGTGCTAGGACGGCGCCTCCGGTCCCTCCCTCCACCCATGATGCAATCAGGGTCTTTCTCTCGGCGGTGAAATCACAGTTTGTCAGCTAGAGGTGTTGGTATATAGCTAGGTGCTCATGTCTCAATCTTCAGCATCAAATTATTAAACCACTCTACAACATCAACACAAGATACCCTGCTTCTTCCTTCCTAACACCCAACTCTACACACAACAAACACACCATCATGGTTCAGAACAAGGGCGTCATCTTCAAGAAGGTCCCAGAGGGATGGCCAAAGCCAGGCCAGGACCTCGCTGTTGAGGCCCGCGACATCGACCTCGACCAGAAGCTCCCCGAGGGCGCTCTTCTCGTCAAGAACTTCTACGCCTCCTTCGACCCCTACCAGCGTGGCCGCATGCGTGCACCCGACGTCAAGTCCTACTCCCCTCCCTTCGAGCTAGGCAAGCCCATCACCAACCGCTCCATCTTCAAGGTCGTCAAGTCCGCCAGCGACAAGTTCAAGGAGGGTCAAACTCTCATCACCATGGGCATCAGCCCCATTGAGGAGTACTCCATCCTCGACAAGGACGCCGTCGCCAACTGCATCGAGCTTAAGAACCCCTACAACCTGGACCCCAAGTACTTCCTCGGCCCCCTCGGTATGCCCGGTCTAACAGCCTGGTCCTCCTTCTACGAGATCGGCCAACCCAAGAAGGGCGAAACAATCTTCATTTCCGCCGCTTCAGGCGCCGTCGGCCAGCTCGTCGGCCAACTCGCCAAGCACGAAGGCCTCACCGTCATCGGCTCCGTCGGCGACGACAAGAAGCTCGACTTCATCACCAAGGAGCTCAACTTCGACTCGGGCTTCAACTACAAGACCGAGAAGCCAGCCGATGCCCTCGCCCGCCTCGCCCCCAACGGCATCGACATCTACTACGAGAACGTCGGCGGCGAGCAACTCGAAGCCGCCATCAACGCCATGAACAACTTCGGTCGCATCGTCGCCTGCGGCATGATCTCCCAGTACAACGCTAAGCCCGGCGAGCAGTACCCCATCCGCAACCTCATGAACGTTGTTGCCAAGCGCCTTACTATCCGCGGTTTCATTGTTGGTGACGAGAACATGGGTCCTAAGCATGCGAAGGAGCACCAGGAGAAGCTGCAGAAGTGGTTGTCTGAGGGCACTTTCAAGGCGAAGATTAGTGTTACTGAGGGTATTGATAATGCGGTTGACGGCTTTATTGGTATGCTTGAGGGAAAGAACTTTGGTAAGGCGGTTTTGCAGATTGCGGATTTGAGCAAGGAGTAGAGAGTTGTATATACCCCAACGTGACTGGTTTGCACCGGTTATATGAATGAAAGATGAATGAACAACAACAATGGTGTGTCAATTGTAACAGTGATGTCGTATGCTTTCCGATTTCATAATTACCTTTTTGTAATGCAACGCCATAGTGTGTAGGTCGGGATGGTCTAAATAGTGATGCATTAAGGTTGATAAAAGTTACATGGTCGAGTCTCAAAGCTTTCGTGGCTGTGAATGACTCACGCAGAAGTGGTACATTTGGAGGGTTGGCTCGTGGCATGACTCAGCCCGGAGGAAGCAGCAGGGCGTCCTGGCACTTTCCTCGCTCTGTCACTCACACTTTCTTACAAGCACAATATCGAAAAGGTATACACATTCCGGGGTACGTCGCACGTTGCAATGCGTGTTGCTGACCTTCACGATAGATGCCTAGACACCCGCAGCCTGTCTCAGCCTTCCTGTACTGTACATTCGTCAACGATACGTAGCGCAGCACCTTCCGCATCCGACAACCGCCTGCCACTTGTCTGCCTTACAACAACATGGTCCTCCTGCACCTTACGCAGATGCGCTAATCAAATAAGATGAATTCCACATGCGCAGTCGCCAATTACCCGGTTGAGGCGGTGTTCGACGTGATCCTGCGTAGAACGTGGATCTGCAACTGCCGTCCACACCCGAGCCAGGCTTGCCTTTCCTGCAATGCAGTCATCTTGTTGTATATTCGGGGGCGCAAAACCACCCAATCAAGGCTTCGTGGTGGCGTGGGCGACGCGGGTGATCATGTTTTCCCTGCTTGACCAGGCTGTAGATGTGCTGACGCAGGACTTATCCGCTGTCTCGGACACAGCTTCCTTCAACACAACGCGGAGTCAACTACACCAAAGTTTCGACTCCCCATTTTTTCTGGACTTCTAGCGCAGTATTATCGTACAGCAGATTGGCAGCAAGAGCTCGCCTTCCTGGCTGACCGAGCATCTATCACAGTCACGATCTCCAACGTATCGCCATCGTGAGTAGAGCGACGGCTCCCGCCAGGCCATATACCTCCATACCAGTACCCTACTGCATTCGTCTAAGTGATTGAACACGATTATGGGCAACTGTGGCAGTTCCGTGAGATGTGATAATGTGTATGGTTGGACGCGCCCACAAAAGATGGAGTTCAACGCAGATATCGCGGGTATCGGCGTGAGTAGCGAACCCAAGAGATGACTACCGTGCTGATTCAAAGCCAGATCCTTATATCATTCTTTTTTAGTGCTCTGGCTGTTTTCTCTGTGGTAACTTGGGGGTACCTGACAGCTACCTTGCCTTCGGGTCTGCTGCAACCGATCGATCAGCACGTACTTATGTTACTCAAGAGTTGCTTCAGGCGAAAACGAAACCACAACCGCGCGGAAGATGTATTATCGACGCAGACGCCAAATCAGCGCAACCATAGCCGTGTTCTAGTCAGATTCCTCAAGATGCTCAGTGATCAGCAGCTCATAACCGGAATTTCTATACTGATTGCTGCGCTTTCAAGTCGATGTGTCATCCATCGGTATGAATGGCATATCGTTACGTCTCTGGCTTATTTCTCGGTGGCTACGCATACCATGTCTCTTGATGTACTCCGGGATCACCTAGCCCAGCACACTTGGGTTAGATACTGTCGCGTATGTTTCACACTTCTTTTCGTCGTTTTCTTCAGCTTCGCATTTCTCGTGGATCAAGTCAGGTCCGACGGGTCAGAAAGTCAAATCATACAATGCGCGTTACGGGACTGGGTATCAGATTACAACGCGCTTTCCGATACTATCCTTGTTCTCCCTGTATTGGCAATCCTGTGGGGCAAGCATATCTCAGCCCTGATTCGAGTAGCCGCCCCGGAAGCCACCTATCATCGGCATGTTACTACTACATTGATGGATCGCATCTTCGTACACTTTTGGAGCTGGACGGACAATCTTTCCACAGCAGAGACGGCGAGACTCGTTGCCGATGCGCATATCTACTACGATGCTAAGATTGGACCATTCAGGAAAAAGACAAGGGTCTCTACGTGGTACTTCCTCGAACAGTACCATGAGGCCTATCTTTCTGAAATTCCGGTATGGGCTTTTCAGCTTGCCTACGGAACGACCACGACGGTCAGAGCAGTATGGAATTCCAATGTAGACCTCTTGGAAGGGCCATCGATGCTTGGCTTTGGTCAAGTCGTTGCGATTGGTTTACTCGTCCTCCCACTGCTTGCTCTAGTTGAGATGATTAATGGTAAGTCTACCTCTATCCATATCATAAATCTGCTAATCAAATGAAGAGCAAGTCGTGTCGGAGAAGCTTCAGCCTTCATCAACTCAGGAACAGTTACATCGGGTCAATGCTGCAGACAATTCTTCTCCAAGCCCTCCTACATCAGAACTACTGGCTCTTGAGTCGTCCAATCACCTAACAAGTGATGACGTGGATCAGTCTGTAGGCGCTGCAAGTCAACTTGTCTCCGAGATGACCAGAAAGATCGCCATTTTATCTCTGATCCTTTGCGCATTTTCTACCGTCGTGATGGTCGGCGCAGCCAGCGCAGCCAGTGCGGATGAATATCAAGTAATTCAGAGGTTTATGTTGATGGCTATTGTTCCAATATGGATACTGTCAAAACTAGTCATCGTCACGAAACGTCAAATTAGTCAAGGTCGATTCGTATGGAGAGAAATCAGATCGCACAAGACCAAGAAGATATCTACACAGCCACTTCTACCGGAGCCTGGCACATCTGACAATAGCACACCACATATCATGTCTGGAGATGATACAACACACGGCCCACCCAGACTACCTTCACTCGATATATCCGACGACCAGCGCGACCATGCACACACTACTGCGACAGAGACGAGCCCGACGTTCGGACGACCTCGCAGGCAAGACACGGAAGCCAGCCTTGGCCTCAACGCCTTGTTCAATAGGCAAGATGGAAGTTCTTCAGACCGTCATGTACAATAACTGATATGGAAGGCCAGTCACCGTTTTAACTATAACGCATCGCACAATGCGAAACTGCGTCACTGTTTTCTTGAATAGGAACCACGGCATCTCATTCCCACGCTCCCTCTATCTCTTGTTTCGGTCACGAATGTATCCCTTTTGCTCCCGTCGTCGAGCTATACATACACACACGTACACAAATATGTAAAGTACATTACAAGCAAAAAGCGACTTCATCACACAAGTCCATCGTGGCACTGTTGCGGCATTAGAGCACTAGCACTCTCATCAAGGCTATTGCAGAAGCTCAAGCTCTCTAAAAGTCCTGAAATTGATGGTGATTGCTTTCTTCATATGAAAACTCATCCATCCACCAATCCATCAACCCGCAAAACCACCATCCCATGTTCAAACCTCCCCCGTCCAGCAGCCAACCTCATTACGAAGCCAGCCGCGACACATGAAAAAAGAGATACCAGTAGACCCCATAATGACCAATTCCCCAGATGTCGATCCTAACCCACATGCACCATGCCCGGATATTCGCCCATCGTCAACCATGCATTCCAGATAAAGACCTCCCTCCCACATGTGAGAAGCCGAAGAGCCAAATGGCTGTCTTCAAAGTTGAAAAACTCCAAGATCATGCAAAAGCAACGCCAAAGCAACGCATGGTAGTACAGAACAAAGGAAAGAAACTCACACTCAGAAGAGAATGGACGCCGCAACCAAGACGTTGCTGGCCAATTTGTTCCTTGAAACTTGCGATGAAGATCGCTCGCAAACTTTTCGTATGTCGTACCGCGTCGCAAGGTCTGCGGTTCGAGATAACGTTGATAGCACTTTTGAGTATGTTTTAGACTGCCAGCACTGCTGTTCATCAAGGTCAGTTCACATGAAATCATCACAATAGCACTGCGTACCTGTTCTTCTTCAATCCCATCCACACCCCCCATCAAGCAGCTTTCAGGGCCTGCGCGACCAAGACCGGAACCAGGATTGCAGTGACAAGGCCAACATTAACGACGATACCAGCAATGAGCGCCGTTCGCTTAGACTGTGGCGTGACGTGACCAAGATGGCCTTTGGTAAGCTCGGCGATGACCTTGTCTCCTATGAAACGGAAGAGGATGATGCAGGGCGGCAGGAGGCAGAAGGCCATGAGGATGCACCATGATAGCTTGCGGCGGCGTGCCTCGTCTTCTGGGTTGGGCTCCCGCTCCACACAGAGAAGGTGAGGCGAGTGCTGGTGGGCAATGTTGGTCCGGACCGGCGCAGGGTAGATGTCTAGGCTAGGGTGTGTGGGACGGAGAGGCGTGGTAGTGTCGCTGGTAGAGGGACGATCACTGTGGGCCACGAAGCGCGTGATGTGCGTGTCTTGAGTCGAGATGGTCGATCGAGCAGCTTCAGGCGCAAGGAACATCTGCCGCAGTTTCGTCTGACCGGGTACGGCAGAGCGGCTCGTGCGGCGTTGTTGACGCAGGAACGTGGTAGAGTTACGGAGGTGCTTGCGAGCGCCAGGGTTTGGGGAGGTCTCTTGAACAGTTTCCAGTTCTGGCGTCTGTGAGAACAGACTAGCTTCTGATGGTGTTCGATGCTCGGGACTCGGCTTGTAGACTGGTCGGGACTGGCTGATGCGAGTTACGCTGCCTGTAGCTGGGAAGGGCGAAGCGTAGAACCCGGTGTAGTCTGAACGAACGCTCTGGCGACCGACGCTCGAGCTGAGCTTCACACCCGGACTGCTAGTATCTGCAACACTGCTACCTGTCTCATGCATACCAGTACCGCGAGGAGTACCAGTGAGGTTGCCCTTAGGCCCAACATAGGAGAGCTTCTCAAAGGTGTTCTGGCGCTCGAGACCAATAGGACTGTTGTCGAAAACGCTCTCATCAGCGGTACTTGAAGTCGGTAGAGTACTATCATCGCTTCTATACCGGTAATGTCCTTGTGATAGACCCACAGACGAAGCGCGCTGCTCATCGATAATGATGTTATCATTAGGGCCAGAAGCTAGCAGCTCTTGCGTCTCTTTG